CCAAAATTATTTAAAAAAAAAAAAAACTATTTACTAGTTTAAAAGCGATAAATGTCGTTTTGTATATTAACTCCTGTCAGATGTACTGCACTAAGTCGTCAAATTGATATAAAAGAACTCAAAAAAAGAGATTTTTATGGAGAAATAAAATGGACATCAGATAATTATATTTGGTAGATAAGAACGATAAATTCATCATTCAAGAAGAAGGTAGATTTCATCTCTTTTTAAGTAGGTATAAGTTTTCGACATTCATCAAAACAGTTTTCACTTCACGCTACAGAAATATCATTAGATTCTTATTAAGATCGACAGCGCGCTACAACTATTCCATTCGTTCGACGTATTTGGACGCGGGTCAATTTTAATCAAACACAACATTTAATTCACCTTAACAGCCTGTCACCAAATTAGCCCAAATAGTGGCAATATCGTTGCCACTACACATTGCGTTATCAGTGATCAAATGCCACACACCCGGGGTGGGTGTTGCGTGCTCTATGTTAGTTAGCGGGTGAAATATGTATGAGAGCCCGGCCGCTTTCCCTCGGACAACAATCGCTAATTAATGGACACTTAGTTTTCGAATCGTGTTTATTTGTTGTTTCGTGGGGAAACGCACCTTGTGTGCATTTGACGCCGTTCGGACAAATTTAATGTCGAATTAGACTAGTTTTTCCGATCCCAATTGTGAGCGATCATTTTAATGGAAATAAAAACTTAAACATTTAATAGTTATTTACATTAGTGATAACAAAATATTTGCTCTATTTGACGTTTATAATAATATAAAATATTGTATTTCCATCCAAAATTCCCTCACCATATTTTTTTTTCGACCCGTAAGTATTTTGTTTCCCTTATAATTTTCTGTCTTTGATTTTCATCAAGCCAGCCAACTTGTAATATTTCTCAAAATGAACAATGCTATAATTGTAATTAATTTATGATCAGTGACTTAGTTGAAATTTAATATTGCGTGTAAAACTCACAGAATACTTTTGCACTACTTGCTTTTCAATTGAAATTGAAAATCTAGTGATTACTCCACTATTTTACAATATAATTTATGTGTTTTTGTACCGTCAACTACGTTTTATGTATAGGATAAATATACGCCGTTAGAAAAATATGAGTGTTAACGGCTTGCAAGTCCTCTAGAATTCTCACAATACAAGGCTCACTTAAGTTTTTGAAGTTATAATTTTTAGGCGCGTTTGGAATGAAACATTTGAGTAAAATTTTTAGGATTCGCGCGCACACCGTCAGTATTACCATGGCAACTATTATTTAAGTCAAAAATTTCAGTTATTTTTCTTTTATCACGCTAAAGAAATATAACTTCTTACGTGCGTACATAGGTAAGTACACACATAATTATTTTCAAAATTAAACAATAGGTACTCTATATCATTGACTACACTTTCAAATATGCCCCCAGTTACATCGACGTGAATTTGAAAGTATCACGGTACCACAAATTAAATTACTCAAGCGAAGGTTTGTGTAGCCAGTAACGTGTTAGCTGCAAACGTCATTAAAATAAAAATGCATACCAAACCGAATGTGGTAGAACCTGTGAGGCGATTTCCAATCAATCAGCATTCGACACGGCCATCGGTAAGTAGGGCGACCAAGCGTACGGTAAAGATTGTAGGAATTCCTTCCTGTTGTGTACTTAGAATAGTGAATCATGCGAACGGATCTTCCTTCTTTATCGGATTTCTGATAATGCAGCTCCTCTCATTACAACCGTCTTCTAGTTCAAAGCGTAATACCTTGTTTTAGGAAACCCTATTACTAAGACTCCGTTGTCTGTCTATCTGTAAACAGGCTGTATCTCATGAACCGTGATAGTTAAACAGTTGAAATTTTCACAGGTGATGTATTTCTGTTGCCGCTATAACAACTAAAAACAGAATGAAAAACATTTAAGTGGGTCTCCCATACAGCAGACATGGATTTTTTGCCGTTTTTCATTCATTCATGATGGTACCCAGCCCTTCGTGCGCGGATCCGTCTCCAACTTGGTGTTATTTTTTATGTATTGCTGTATTTCTGTATTGCTCACACTCAGCGGCTGGCAATAAGTATACGTCATTCAATTGTATATGTGTGCGTGGCTGCGTCCGCGCCCCGATATTGTTTAGCAATTTAAACCAGTGCGTTGACAGCCCTTGAGTATTTCACTAGTCCCCTGTGCTCCGTACTTCAAAGTCAAAGTCAAAGTATATTTATTCAATATAGGACTAATTTAAGCTCTTATTGAACGTCAACAAAAATTTACCACCGGTTCACTAAACTAGACCTGCACGGACAAGAACCGGCAGGAAACTCTGCGGTCTTGTTCTTTTTGTTGTTTTTTTAATGCAATTATACACATTTATTTAGATATAAAATCAGCATAAATTCGAACATAACATTGGCGACGATTACGACCCGCGTTAAGTAAAAAAAAAAAAATAAAGAAATATGGAAAAAAGAATACCTAACGAATTTCATAGCTACATCCATTCGTAGTTTGTCTGGCTTACTATTCAAAATCACTTAAAATAAAAGGAAAACTTAAAAGCTATTTTCATTCTCGAAATGTTATTAAATGACAACGAAACCGATGTGATGTTGTTATTATTTCGCACGTAAAATGTTCTTTTTTTTTCTGTTTTTAATATGTTCTTTCAGTGTACAAATTGTCGTTGAAATAAGTTTTTAAGATTTTGTAAGTTATAAATTGTGAAACATTTACCATGCGGCGTATTATGAACACTATTATACAGCTTGTCTTTACAATCGCGACAATAAATGAACACACATATAAGGGATAACTTTTTAAAATTGTATTAAACATTTACTTTCTATAAACATCAATATTCACAGAGTTATTAAATTTTCCAAAACAAAGAATTTAAGACCACCGTACGTATAAAACTGTAACATAAAGTTCATTTGTAAAGGTCACAAAGCATATCAATGGGTTGAATGAATTTAAAAGAGACAAAACATACTGTTAGAAGGAGAGGCTTGTAATGCGACGCTGTGGCAACGAATGAAAAAGTCTCTGAATATATGAATCAGTCAGTTGTAGTTGTATAGGATGTTACAAATTTTGTTTCTATTTTACTTAACTTTTTTTTAATTATGGATTTTTTTAACGTTAATATTTTTTTATGATTATTGGCAAGTAGCGTTAGACGTGTGTTCATTTATTGTCGCGATGGTAACGACACGCTGTATATTGGTGACCTATACGTACCATATTTCGGCTAATAAAGATAATTTGAATCTGAAACAACACAAGTAGTACCGTACCTACGGCGATGGGTGTTGCAAATTTCAATTGATGGCGGTTATCACTTAGGTGAATCGCCAGCTCGTTTGCCACTTTTTTACATAAAAAAAAACAGTCCTATCCCTACTACTTAATATGGTCTCCCTTTTAGACGCTGTGGGCAACTTGGTTACACAGGGCTTAGAGAATATATTTCCAGGCCGCTGACAATAACGACGCTGGCTTCTTACGGAATGTAATTTACTTTTAATTATACGAACTGCAATGCTATGTATATAAAAAGCTCTTTCTTTCATTGCACACAACTAAATATTTACCCTTGTACTAGGAACTGGTACAAAGGCGAGTATATTTTGTTTATGAAAAAAGTTGGTAAGCAAAACACGCGTTTCACCTGATGTTGCCAACTTTTAAATATGTACACCCCGCTTCCCTCACTCATCAGACGCAACGTGAAAGTATAATACTACCAATTCCCGTCGGTCTTCTGTGAGACCGTGGTACTTGCCTGATTCGATCTGGCCATTCGTGCTGTAGCTGATGCTACTGCGTGGGGTACACAGAGAACACCGTTTTTGATGGTTTTTCTTTATATGAGAAGTTGCCAGGCGAGCAGGTGGTTCACCTGATGTTAAATGAATATCGCCGCCCATGCACTGCTGCTACACCCGAGGGTTACAGATGCGTTGACAACCTTGTTGAAGATTGGGCTCTGGCTATCTCAGTCATCAGACGAAACACGAAAGTATTTGTTACACATCCACTTTACGCCGGTCTTCTGTGAGGTCGTGGTACTTACCCGGACGAGCCTGCCCATTCGTGCAACAGCCGAGGCTGCTGCGTGGTCGTACCACCATTAATACAATGTCCATAGCAACAGGATGTTTTTACACCACGATTAGCTTTAAAATTATTTAATTATCTTCGTATAAAATATATAAGTAAAGGGGCCTAGCTAAGATAATAAAAAGCGGTTTTAAATAATCAACGCTGCATAATCATGCACCTGGAAAGCTGCATATCTAAGAGTAATGATAAAATATCAAAAAAAAAAAATAGAAGACATATAACTCTTTCCAACCATTTGAGTAACCTTTGTACACATGAGGTCTTTACTCTAATGTTGTCGTCTTAATGCATCTCCATTATTTTTATCGGTCAATGTATGTATACTTACATTAACCTACATCATCCTCCTGCCCTTACCCCACTTAGGTGGGGTCGGCACAACATGTTGTGAGCGATTTTGCCTATGTTTCTTTTACGACCGGCCTCCTGCCTGACGTCAACCCTCCTTGGGAATCAAACGTCCAGATCCGGAACAATTATCTGTGGGTCACAAACAGTTGTCCTGTGTGGAAATCGAACCCACGAACCCCTACACCGAAACCAATAGCTTGGCAAATGCGTCACCGAGTCATAACTCACATTTACTTCTATTTACGTACGTCAACATTGAATCGAAATGTATTTAATTTTTATTTTATTTTATTTGTCTGGTTTACCAGCAATTGTTACATTCATACATTAATTTATTATTAGTATACAGCATATTTCTACAGCTAAATGAAATGTATGCTTGAAACTTGTCATAATTTCTCCGTTTCCTCGTCTAAAATCGAACCGCTCAACATTGATCTCACCGACCCTCGGACACGTGGAGAGCGGATGTCAAACAGCACCTCAGGATCACGGACAATAATTAAGTTTACGCGAAACGAGGACATTCGCGCGCACACATGCACGCGCGCACAAACACGCACGCACACGCGCCCGTCAACACTCGAGCACCGCATCCAATTACGTGCGAAACCGTCGTGTAACCGCGAAGTAATTCGGCCGTGCGAAGCGCCACGTGTTCGCCCTCCGCCCGATTCCAATTCTCCTTTATTCCTCGGGGCGAGAGGCCGGGGGCCGACGCCGCAGAGCTACGCTCTCCTCTAAGGACATAGTTGTTTCGCATCTGGATGTTTCTCCGCGTGAAATTTATGTTTTAAAAACGTACTTACAACACAGGATAATGTTATCCTAAAGTAAGGGCAATGTTAATTAAGAAAAGAAAAAAAAAAACACAAATGTTTGCCCCGTGTGGGGGACGAACCCACGACTCCCGACGCCGAAGCCAATACGTTGGCAACTGCGCCACGGAGTCATCTACATTACTGGTGATGTTTCACCTCAGAACTGTTACTTGACAGCGACTTCCCGAGATATAATCACAACTCCCGTCGAACCTAATCAAGGTGGCCTTTCTAAGATCAGAAGAAGTGAATCTGTAGTAGTGAATCTGTTGAAGTTATCTTTAGACAATTTGGTAAGATTTTATATATTGAAACGAAATGTAATTTTATCTCAAATGAGGCTCCTTATAATATGAACCCGTTCAAGAAGTCTGACCCTACTATATCAAAAGGTGATGTGGTAACGCATCTTCAACTCTACTTGATGTTGCAAATGTCAATGGGCGGCGGTAATCATTTACCATCAGGGAAGCCGCCAGCTCGCTTGCCACCTTGTCACATCCAAAAAGATACTCTGTATGTTACGAGTATACAATTAGATATCATCATTGTTATTTTGTGAAAATTTTATTAAATATTTCATATTTAGATAATATTATTTTGTCATTCTTTTTTCAAACTGTATTGAGATTATTTGACTACTGCTCCCGGCCGCCTTATTCACGGTACGAAAGGCAAAAATATATGCTTTTGAGGGTTCCGTACCCAAAGCTTAAAACGGGACCCTATTACTAAGACTCCGCTCTGTCTGTCCGTTGTCACCAGGCTGTATCCCATGAACCGTGATAGGGACAGTCGAAATTTTCACAGATTATGTTTTCTGTTGCTGCTATAACAACAAATACTAAACAAACAAGTCAGGATTTTTATACTATACAACCCTTCGTGCGCAAGTCCGACTCGCACTTGGCCGGTTTTTTTAATTCACGCCGGTCTTCGGCGCTACTTTCCCGATCGAGCTGACCTACTCGTGAATCAGGAGCTATTTTATAATCTTCCTTGCTCTATAGTTATACACGAACTGTTTCGTCGTATCATCCCCTTTACATATTTTCCGATTTTTTTCATTCGCGTGTCGACTGACTATCTGCGATCTAGCCTTTCAATGTAGGTTACTGCCAATTCTCGAAAGCAATTAGCGCGTGCAGATTTATTGACGGTACGTGTTGCGAAATTAATAATTAATACGTGGCGTGGATTTTCGCGTGTCCGTACGCGATAATTCTAAGCGTCCAATATACATGTATCATTCGCGGGCAAAGAGTTGTGAATTAATGCTGCTCTTACAGTGCGATGCCGCGCATTGTAATTGTTTCAATCGGTCGATTTTTGTTTAATTTTTGCCCTTATATGATGATCATTTTGCGTAAAGCATGCTTATGTTTACATACTTCGTTTAATGTTTGAGTTTCGGCAATTTTTATTCGCATCGAGGTATTTGAATCTCAAATGCGACAGTTTAAGACTGTCGGATAACGATAGTCGGGAGCGTGTCTAGAAAAAACAATGTTAATGTTTTTTTTTAACAAGTTAGCTCATTGTAACACTTGATTATAATATAATAGAGATAGAGTGTTGTACATTTTTGGATGTACACGCGTGGCAGCCTCTGCTGTTACAAGGACGAACCTTCCTCCTCCACGGCCTTAAAGAAAACCGGCGTAATGTATATAATTTTGATATATACTTGTCTAGATGATACATTTGCCGTACCAAACGGCGCAAAAATTGTCTATCAAAATTGATAGACTCGCGTTTCACAAAACACTATCCTTTAATTCGTTATTTCTTAGGTTAGCCGGTGTTTTCAGTTTAGTAGGAGTAAGTTTTGGGGAAACTATAGGAGACAAAATGCAAATATCATTACAAATTCTTTTGTCCTGAACATTATTATAAAAATAATATTATTTATTTGATGAGTAAATGATAATTTATCTACACAAAATAAATGAAACCCATGATGCAACACTAAACAGTATTTTTGTTAATGCTTTCTTTTATTTTGGGTATTCCCTACGGATTCCGTACTTGAAAGTCGCTGGAGACCGATTATACAACAGATTTTACGAAAAGTTTTTTTATGTATAAACTACTGGATTTTTTCATTGTATTTTTTGTTGCTACTAAAATAAATAAAACTACTAATCTACAAAATAATTACTTTATTCAACCTATTGTGTTTAGATTTCACCTTTTTAAATAATGGGGAAAACTTAAGTTAAAATTTGGAGCAGGCATCCCTAAACATGCACACTTTGACATTTTGTTTTAAATGAGTACACGAGCGGCACTCACACATATCACGCAATCGGAGACAGTTTTAACAAGCCGTTTGTTAAGCATTGCTCCATCTAGAGAAGTATTTAATCAAAGGTTATACTTTTTCTGATGAGTAGGATAACCGGAGTCGACCCTTTCAAAGGTTGATATTGCGGTTCGATTTCTGTCAAGCACACCACTCGCTATTTTATCTTTTAAATAAAACTACCCTCCTTCTAAACACATGTCCACGAACGTCTATCCTTTTTAAGCATTTACGCAGATATTTGTGGAATTCAACCATATTCTGTTTTACTTAAACACAACCATGACCTAATGATAAGACTACCTGGTGCCTTTTGCGGTGCATTTTTATATTATTAAAAAAAATATGACAAGGCAAGTATACATATATTGCAAATCACAAAAGTGGGACACAAACGAGTAAATAAATACATTTTAATCACACCTATATAGAGAAAAACCAGCTTGCCGCAATTGAAAAATAATTGTTCTGTCATTGAGATAACTGTGGTAGGGCCTCGCAACATTCTCTGTTGCACGAATGGCACGACATCACAGAAAATCGGCGTGAATTGGAAATGTTGTACTTCTGCGTTTCGTCTGGTGAGTGAGGTAGCCGGGGCCCACTTTATTAAGAGGTGGGATGCCACCTCTTAATAAAGTGGGACCCGGCTACGCAACACCCGTAGGGTTGCAAATACGATGGTATTTGCAACCCTACGGGTGTTGTAAATGTCATTTGCCACCTCCTTACATAAAAAAGATAGACTGAGCCGTTGAGCCCAATGTTTTAATTGTAGGGTGTCGCAATGGCTTAGTCAGCCTCCTTGCCAACCCCTTTTTTTCGTGGGAAAAATCCTTTATAGATCCCTGCCACTGGATCGGGGGAGTAGTAGGGTATCTGGGAGGCCCAGAAACGGGTACCCACTAATCCCACGTTGCACTTGTCTCTGTCGCATCGGCCGGGGACACGGGAACACGTAGACGCAACCTTCCGCGACCCCGGCGCGACTATGGCCTTTTTGGGCCTCCTCTTCTAAATAGTGCTGTACCAGTGTGATCTTGCCAAACCTGCCGGGGCTGTGGATTCGATAAATAGTGTCAAATCTGTGCTTTGTGTCCGTGATTTTGTGAATTTATTATCAGCGCATAACCAAGTTCATATTTCTGACAAATAATTAATTCCATCGAAGCCTAAATTTAATATTAATGAGGGTGCAGCTGGCATGACTATTCAGCGAGAAAATGTAGCTAGTGTTCTTGGCACCATGCTGCGTGGACTAGGTTTGTCAGATCACATTTAATTTTGTTAGCATTTAATATTGTAAATATTTTTGTGTTCAAAAAATTTTAATTATAGTGATGCTAATTTGCTTATAATACTAAGATATTTATTTATTACTTTCATATCATACTTCTACAACTATCTTATTACACTTCTTCGTCCATGTTTCAGGGTTCTTTTAATGGTATATAGGAATATTAATGACATACTTAGGGCAATTCTAACACTTAATTATGCTATAATATATATAAGTTTATAGTTATAGATCCTTAGTGTAAGATGCAAAGTTGTTGATGCTAGGTTGAAAGATGCAGAGTTTTCTAAAATTAATTATTTATTACTTTGCATTTGTGAGACAATAAGTATAATAAGACATTAAAATTACTTGGCCACGAGAATCCATAAGTTTGTAAGGCTGAAATTCGCATACGAACGAAAATGCTTATCGTCATTGCTCCGCTGAAAACGCCGTAGCGTGATGTTTTTTTTATGTAAGAAGGGGACAAAAGAGCTGGCGGTACACTTGATTTTAAGTGCTCCTAGACATTGCAACACCGGTAGGGCTGCATATGCGTCGTCACCTTTTAACAAAGTGGGTCTCGGCTACCTCACTGACAAGATGAAATGCAGAGCTATGAGTCTATGAGTTTGTGGTATCTACTTCCCCGTACGGACGTGCCGATTCGTTCAGGCGACAATCTTTTTGTACTTTTTCTACAAATTTTAATGTTCAATCTTAAGTGCAGAGATTAGAAGTATAAAAAAAGTTTAATTTCTAAAAAGCAATGGCGACATCTCTCGTTCGAATTATCGTTGTAAAACGATATTCGAAATTGTTTGTATGCTGAAAAGGATATAACAATGGATGCGCCAAGCATTGCTTCAAATGCTAAGAAACGATGTAGATAAAAGACGTTAAGATTTTCGTCGGTGTGCCAATCAGCCGTTTAGCTCAGTGGCTAAAGCGCCAGGCCAGGAATGCCGTAGACGTGGGTTCGATTCCCACAACGGCGACAATCTTTTCTTACTTTTTCTACAAGTTTTAACTTATGTATAATGTTGCGTAACCTAAAACATCACCCAATTGGGATGTCCTAACTCGACTAACATCCATCTTGATGGTAAAAAACAGTCATAGGTAATAAATGCATTAGCTTAGTAAAGCCTATTTACTTTTGCCTTGAAGTACGCTTGCATTGCAGTAACTGGAAAGACGGTGAATCGACGGGCTTTAAGTAAATGCATAATATTCTTGGCACCTAGAACGTTCTAATACAATACGATTAGACACCATGATGATTTAACTTTTTTGACATCCACTTCGATAGCATCGCTACTTTTATTGCAAAAATTAAAAAAATTGATTTACCTTTACCGTTGCTATCCTGATTGACCTTTTTCTCATTTGGTAATAATGAATTTTTAACACTACCAAACTACACTCTGGCAGCTATCTATACACGAAACATCAAAAGGGGTGCTAGTTGTATATTTGTAAGGAAAGGTATATCCTTCAAAAACTTACAATATATGTCAAACTATTGCGTGGCAGAAGTTATAGAATGCTGTGCTATTGAACTCATAAATTATTCAACTATAATTATATGTCTGTACAGAGTTCCTAAATTAAGTAATATCTCAGTATTTTACGAAAAACTTGATATTATTTTACGCAAATTGAATAAGAATAAACAAAAGATTATTTTATGTGGAGATTTTAATATTGATATACTGAAAAGAAATAACCTGGCATTAGAGTTCTGTAATTTCTTATTAAATTTTAATCTTCATTTATTATTAAAAGAACCAACAAGATTGAAAAGTAACACATGTATAGACAATTTTGCTTATAATGCATCTATTGCTTGTAAAGGAGAAGTTTATAATTTAGGCTTATCGGACCATACTGCCCAGCTGTGTAAATATCCTGTTGCAAAAAAATTCATTATTGACACATGGAAAATAAGACGTCGAGATTATAACAAGGAAAATATGAATAAATTTAAATCATACATTGAATCACTTACATTTTCTGAGTTGTATACAGCAAATGAACCTAATGATGCCTACAATAAATTTATAGAAACTTTTAAATTAATTTATGATTTGTGTTTTCCCATTAACACAATTACTATCCAATTAAATAAACGGGTTAAATGGCTGACTAAAAGCATCAAGTTATGTTCTAAAACACAGAGAAAAATGCTATGGAGATACAGGCTAAATCCCAATGAGCAAACAAGACTGCTTCTAAAAACATACACTCATAGACTTAAAAAAGTTATTAAGCTTACACAAAAAGCTAGAAATAATTATAGAATTAAACTATCAAATAATAAATCTAAAACTATTTGGCAAATTATTAATGGAAATAAAAGTTATCACCCTCAAGAATACATTGAAAAAATAAACTTTGGTAATGCTATCATCAATAATCCGACATTGCCGATGCATTTAATAATTATTATACTGACCAAGAACTGGCATCTCAAGTTGTAAGAAGTAATAAAAATATCACATTAGAAGCATTTGCGCATTCATTTTTTATGCCACCAATCATTCCTCTAGATGTTTCAAATGCTATAAAGTCACTAAAAAACACAAATAGCGTTGGATATGATGAACTTTCTACACGTGTCATTAAGTTAGTTAACAAGAGTGTTTCTCCACATTTAAGTTACATATTTAACTTATGTGTACAAGTTGGTGTTTACCCAGAGGGTCTTAAAACAACTGTTATTAAACCACTTTAAAAAAAAAGGGTTCGAAAGATGATATAAGCAGCTATAGACCCATTGCCCTTACACCAGTTATTTCGAAGATTTTTGAAAAGATTATGCATAAATACCTGAGTAATTATCTCGAAAAATTTAATCTACTAGTGGATGAACAGAAGGGATTCAGGAAAAATAAAACAATTAATAGAGCAATATATGATTTATTAAATTTAATAATCAAAAACATTGATAATAAAATAGATATCTGCGCTCTGTTTTTAGACATGAGTAAAGCTTTTGACTATGTAGATCATCAAATATTATTGCATAAAGTTGAATATTGCGGAATAAGAGGTAATATTTTAAATCTGATTCAGACATACCTGACCAATAGGCGACAAGTAACACAAATAACTCGAATCGACATGAAAATGAGAGAAGAAAAAAATTTACACATCTAAGTCTCGATATGTTCGGTATGGCGTTCCACAGGGAAGTGTGTTAGGACCATTGTTATTTCTTATTTACATAAATGACTTACCTAAATGTATTTCGCACCCCATGGTTTTATTTGCCGATGATAGCACAGCTATCATTAAAAGTGTTAAACATGATCTAGAAGACGAATTAAATTCAACACTAACACAAATCATTGAAGAATTGCAAAAAAATAATTTACAAGTTAATTGAGATAAAACTAAATTTATAAAGTTCTATCAAAGATGTGCAAATAATGTAAATTTAAAACTAATACACAATGGAAACCAAATTGAAAAAGTTGACTACACAAAGTTTTTAGGCTTGGCAATCGACACTAGATTAACATGGACTTATCAATCGGACATAGTGTGTAACAAAATAAGTAAAGCGGCATATATTCTATGGAAATTGTCTAGTACCTTAAACATTGAATCACTGTTAACTGCATATTATGCCTATGTAGAATCGCATCTTAGATATGGCATCATATTCTGGGGAAATTGCAGCATGAAAGAAAATATATTCAGGTCGCAAAAAAAATGCGTTAGAGTGATGTGTAAATTAAACACGAGAAAAGCTGTAAATCTTCTTTTATAAAATATAAAATATTAACCATGCCGTCGTTATACATATTTGAGAGTGCGGTGTTTGTAAAAAATAACTTGTCTCTTTTTTCCAAGCCCAACCATGAGCGAAGCAGTCGTGACATATACAAACTTTGTTTACCGAAAACTAATACTAAACTTATGAGCAAGAGTATACTCTGCATGGCACCAAAAATATATAATAGGCTCCCGAAAGAAATAAAGGAATTAAACACAAATCTATTTAAGAAAAAACTACGCGACATGTTAACAGAAAAATGTTATTACAGTATAAACGATTTTTTTTCAAATTAATAATCTAAACTTATTCAGGGAATTAATAATGTGCAATTTTATCGAACGTTTTTATTTTTTAGTCATTTAATCATTTGTCATTTTGTTCTCTGTTCTATTATTAATGTTTGTTAACTTACTTTTTTCATAGACATATGTTTTAATATTATTTTAATATTCTGTTATATAATTTTTTCAATTTTATTTTATGATTATGATAGTTAAGAAATTTGAAAATGTATACTGACAACCTTTAAGCGAACATATCATATTTGCACACCCTACAAAATGGGTAGAATATAGCGATAAAAATTACTGTACTGTACACCTCATGCCTAACCTATATTTCGCAAAATAAATATATTATTATTATTATTATTTTTGAACTAATATAATTTTTATATTGTTTTTCATTACAGTAACAGGATATAACGCATGATGTGGTTACTTATAAATGTGAGAACAGTCATCTATTGTACTATGTAACAAATAATTTGTATTTATCTTAATTGGCTGTATCTTAAGTTAGTAATTCAATAAATAAAAATAAAAAAATAATTATTTTACTCATTTCAGAAATCCGTAAATGAAGTGTGTTTGAAGTTTGTCTATAGGTGTCAATTCTTTAGATAGTGAAGTCGCAGTGACTGGGTATTCGGACTCGCTGTTCAGTTTGGGACTATATGATTAGTAAAAATTATTATAACATATTAATAATAAAGAAAAATTTGTATGGGTGTGATTTCGTTGTCACTTCTTGCTTGTAGAAGGTGTTTAAAAGTACGTCGATATCTATACAATTTACATTCTCTTCCCAGGTAGTGAGGGAGTGATTGGGTTGGGTTGGCATTAAGTTCCCTTGGGGTTCCCTTAAGTGGGTTCCTCATCTTTATGTTAAGTTTATTAGAGTGAAGGGGAAATAAATAAATGAAATAATAACAGTAACATTATTCGAATAGTTTATTCTTATAGACAATTCCATTATATATTTATTCACTAAATACAGATAGACAACAGAATGTACTCGATATTAACACTTAGATGAGACGCGAATAATGATTACTAAAATACATCCTGTTTTTAAACAATTTCCATTGTTCGTATGCCACGAAGAGAAAATTATTTACAATTTCTATGTATGTAAATATTACAATTAAATTTCGGTTAGGTAAAATTTGCAAATATCATAAATCAAATGCAATACGACGGCATACGATAAAGTCGTAAAAGAAGTTTTTTTTTTTCACTAATCATTTAATGTAATTATTAATTACAGTATTTATTAAAAAAAAAGTTTGAAATACAAATATCAGAACGAAAACATAATGCATTTAATAGACGAAACATAATAAGTTTCGTAATTACTTTCGTGACATTGCTGACACGTAAAATAAGCATAACAAAACAGTCAATATCTGCTGAAGCAGTTAAGCTCAAACGTGGTAATTAGATATTTTACGATTGCAAACTGAAAATTTCGTAATAAAAGTGTCCATTACGGAAAAAAGTTAAGTGTCTCATACATTTTGTGTAATATTTAAACAGCTACGCCACGAATGTTCTTAACTATCGTATTAATATTATAATTACGGTCGATATCTCATACATACATATATGTTTCCATCTAATTATTTACAATACATCTTTATGAGATGTCCCTGCTACACGGAAAGTATACAGGATTCTTTTATTTACAAATAATATCGTCTTATATACACTCACCAACAACACCTTTTCAAGATATATTTTCATACACGTAGAATTCTTAAGAAGGAATCGCTAAATAGAAACCAATAATAAATACACAAAATGCATTACACATCTATCTTAAAATAGGAACCAAAAAAAATTATGCTCTACATAATTATGTAAATAAATTATTTTAAAATTAAACTTATCGCAAAGAAGCTTGACATTATAAATTGCCTTTCTGTACACTATTCACATATATATATCAATCACATACTAGTGTTTTAACAATAATAATGACGAAAACTCATTGTTACTGCGACTCTAATACCTCTATAATAGTTACTAGGATTGAGGAAAAAAAAGGAAAGTTCAAAACGACACTAAATCAGACTTAGGACATAGGTAAAACTCGGCATAGTCTGAAATGAGTTTCGTATTTCGATAATGGCATGCAATAATTTGAACAGTTTAAAATTATTCCGAGGAAAAAAAAACATCAGACACCAGCCTGTGACACTGCGGAATGATTGAGTAGACGCACTAAAACCTCCGACGGACGCCGTTTGCGAGCGGAAAAAGAAAACACATCACGTCACAGAGCACTGCGTTCGAATTTCGAAAACACGCGCGCCGAACCGCGCTCGGGCTACGGCCTAGCGCCGTTGGCAAAGTCCACTTTGTGCACCGTTGAGCCGCATCAGTCGTGGTAGTCACGCGGCTCCGGCTTCAGCTACCAGACGAGGCCCTCGGGGTGGAGGGGAGGGGGGGCGTCGCCGAACGTGAACTCGGGCGAGGAGGGCCGCGGCAGCACTAGGTGGTCGGGCGGCGGGAATTGCTCCGGGAACTCGCCGGGCAGCGACTCCATACCGCCTGCGAAACGACCTGCTCAAGTTAATAAGCGCCCCCACATTTTTATCTACTGATTTTTCATCATAAGTGCAGACATTAGCACGATAAACATTTAAATTTCGAATAGCAATGGCGACATCTCTCGTTCGAATTATCATTGTAAGACGATATTTGAAATTGGAGAGATAACAATGGATGCACCAAGCAATGCGAAAAAGGGAGTTTACATTCCCTTTTCGATCGAGGAATCAGCCGATTAGCTCAGTGGTTAAAACTTTGGGGCGCAAATTCGGATGACGTGGGTTCGATTTCCGCAGCGAGAACATATTTTTTCGTGTATTTTTATAAAAATTCTTCGCTTAGAATGAAAACACAAATTTTTACTCTTACCTACGGATACATCGTACGGCGTTCTTTGGCAGTTACGGTGAGAAGTGAATACCGAATACCGGACAAACTTCCGCGTTTGTTATTATAGTATAAAATCTAACGTCCCTTTGTCCGCCTGTCTGTAATTCAGCTCGCTCATAAGTGGTTCTATTTGCCGACTTACAACTGGCGCTGCAGACGCTGACACAACTAATGTTTGTTACAAAAATCCTTAACAGCCTATAGTACCTAGGAGTAAAAGCGAAACCGTTACAGTTTAGAAAAAGATTAAGAATAACCATGTGATTGTATTCCCTATATTAAATTTGATTAGCTACCCAGGTTTTGTTTACCAGTAGTTTTAATACCTAAATATGAACTAAAATGTAACACTATACTAATTGATACCCATCACGGAAAGACCTAAATTGTATCAAGAAAACGATTAGATGTTACCAATAATTAGAAAAACGGTAAAATTCAGATACTTCAATTATGACGGAACGAGCATTGAAATATTTTTTTCCAGTATTTATAATTGAATATATCTGAGACACAAAAGAAATTAAGTCTCTGCAGCATCAAAGGTAAAACGTATCTTAAGAAATAAGGTCTCACGTGCTCAACTGAATACGGAAATTAAAACACAAGACTTTAAACGATGGTAGGGCCACGCAGCAGCCTCGGCTGTTACACGAATGGGCAGGCCCGTCCGGGTAAGTACCACGACCTCACAGAAGACCCGCGTAAAGTGGAAGTATGACAAATACTTTCGCGTTTCGTCTGGTGAGTGAGGTAGCCGGAGCCCAATTTTCAAAAGGTTGTCAACGCATCTGTAACCCTCGGGTGTGGCAGATGTCCATGGGCGGCGGTATTCACTTAACATCAGGTGAACCGTCTGCTCGTTTGACAACTTTTCGCATAAAAAAAACACAAGATCTCTCGACTCTTGATATTAGTCGATGATCCAATATAATTGCACCAACCTGGCTGGTTGAACGGCATTGTCGGCGGCGGGTGGAAGAACGGCGCGTCATGGTGGAACGGCGGGCCATAGCCAAACTCGAACTTGCCATCGGCCGTCGCGAAGTAGGGGAACCCCGGCGGCCCCTCCTCCAAGCCACCCGGCGATAGGTTCATGGGGAAGCCCCGCATCTTGCGCGAGGAGCCGAAGAAAGGACCTCTGCCCATAGATGTCAGCTGCTTCAGGCGGCGCTCTTTCGACCGCTTGTTTTGAAACCACACCTGTTCGAGGGACATTTGTTAATTCTTAGATAAGTAACTAGGACTTAGGCCCAATTGGCGTAGTGGTTGTGAATCTTCAGCGCCGGAGGAAGTGGGTCCGATCCACACTACTGGAAAAGTATTGTATGATGATCATAGTACTATTGTAGTGGTTATAAATAACACAAACAAAAGAAAAAATAATGCAAGGGAAAATAATGTTTATCAGTTTCCTGCTATGTTTAGCTTTGCTAAGTTTGGGATTAGTTAACTTTGGGTAAAATTATATTCGATAGATTTATTTAAGTTAAAATCGTAATAAATTAGTGCACGCAGGTAACATATTCAACCCCAATCCACACATTGGTACACAACACATGCAGCCATTGTCAAGTTAAATAATTTTACATAAGTCGACTGAAAGTTCCACGGTCTTGCAAAAGACCGATGTGAAGTAAAAGTATTCCTACTTCTGAGTTTCCTGATGAGTGAGTGGCGACCCATAGTGGTTTGCTACATGTTGTGGTTCCATGGGCCTCGCTTAACACCAGGTGAGCCGCACAGATATACACAGTGTGCCAATCGTAAAGACGCCGCAAAACCGATTAAGAACTCGCCAAGAGCCACAAAACAACGAGTGTTGGGAAATCGTATCACTTTGTCGGCTCTATAGTTGCACCACCGTCCGCGGGTTTTGCGGTCGAACAGTGTATTTGCACGTGGAATATTGGTTTATATCTCGCGCTTACATTGTTGCTACATCTGGACCGCGATGGCAATAAAACGACCGTAAAGTGTCGATACAACGGACACCCTCCGGCCGCCTTTCTAAAATTGTGTAGGAATTCGTATTATAAAAAACTGTTCGAAATTCAAATGAGGTTCATTTAAATATTCCGCGGGAAACTCAGACTTTGTCGTCGACGGTCCCGAAGCTTAAAAGAACATCCCATGTACATTTCGAATGACGAAGAAAGATGATTCCGCTCGGCGATTTCCGAATTCGGAAAAGGCAAAAAATCACATTAGGGCTCTCAAAAGGCCCGAAAAAAGCTCTCAAATCAGCCTTTGGCAAAACTTGATACGCCACATTCGGAGTGACTCAGCCGCCTGATCAAAAACCTCAAGAATGCTCTACTGAAACGCTAATGGGGCGCGACGGTTAGAGAATGCCATAGTGCTTAATCGAATAACGCGCGGCTACTTGCACGTGTGACCGTGACATTAGGAACGGCCGCCGATCTAGGCGTTAACAGGCGCGTTAACCGACGCGAAGCACGCGAATCGGGCGCAATCTAGAACGCGCTCCGTCGTATCACGGACGCGCCTTTATCCACGGTAACCTCGCCAACTCAAGGAGCGCGTTAAAAAGGCTCGGTGCACACCGCGGTGCGCCTGCACAGGCCGATTTACGGGTGGCGGCTCAAGCGATATTACGCACTGTGACCGTTACGGTAAAGTTCAGAATCCTGTGCCGCAAAACGCTCGCTCCTGTTGCGGCGGCTGCGCGAAGTGTGAACCGTCCTTTATCGTATGCGTTCCTCCGCCGCGGCAATTGGGAATCGGCGCGATCATAAAATCCCATTCGGCCGCTCGTTATGCGTTCACGGCGCGTTATCGCGGCTCGTCGCGTGCGTCCGCGCGTCTAATCCGTTCGGGAATTCGACGGCGCGGCGCGTTTCCGTTCGTGTGACAGCGCCATCACTTTAGCACCGCTCTATACGATCGTTCCATAAACCTTGACGTTGACGCCAAGTGTGTCGTCTTCCAGTACGGATAGCTACGTTTGAACAAATTATTATTAGAAGTATTTAAGCGTCAGGCACCGATCTATCTGAAAAAATAACGCTAGGACATTTAAGACATCGCTCCGAGGTTAATTACGAATGAAGTGGAATTTAATTAGTTTATGTGAATAACGAAGTCTTGTTATGCCTGCTGTTCGAACGGATTTGCTTTTAAGTACCCACGTTCTTCTTAACTTCCTGTGCTTGTGTGTGATATAAGATTATGTTTTCTTCTTTTTTGCGGGTTGACAACATGGTTGCCTAATCACTCGTCACTGAGACAAAAATCTTTAAAAAACATAGATATTAACATGAGGTAAAAGGACTTGCCCTTGTCTACAAATACGTTCAAGGACGCAATAAGGCCGATCTTCCTTTCAATTCACTCAATAGCAATTTGATAGCTCATCAGTGAGACCATTACACTACTAATTTTAACGCTAACTAATTCATAATACGCATTATAAACAATCACTCCGGTACAAAACCTAACAAAATAATGATTACCTATTTATTCAAATGAAATCGTAAATGTCTTTATTAATGCAGTAATTAAGTTTATGATTATTAGTCAGTTCATTATTATACCTTTATGAATTGTTTTATTCGGTTTTAATAAAATATGTAGATACTTAGACGATTTCTTACAAAAAAAATTAGCCATTATTAATCATATCTATTCGGCGAGGATATGCACCAATCATTGTTAGAAAAATTTAGATTCGTTTCACAGCGTCTTCGATTGGGCGTGTCATTCGCAATAGTTCTGGGCTATTCGCTAGCGCAATGAAAGTACGCGTAACGATTCTGGGCTATTCGCTATTCGCTAACACAATTAAAGTACGCGTAACTATTATCTCCAGTTACGAACTGCTCGGCGTGTGCCAATACGTTTCGCGGACGCACGCGTGGGTGCGGCGGCGCCATCAAAGGTACGCACTAGTGCTGGGCCTGCGCGCTACGATACGAAACCGGTTTTTTATAGGTTTGTTATTCACAGTTTTTAATAGACGTTCCTTTGCCGTACGGCGTTATTATCGCCGCGATTGGCTAACGGTTACGAAGCTCGCGTTTTCGCACAGAAGACCGGCGTGAAGATACTTTCGCGTTTCGTCTGTCGAGTGGGGTATTCGGGGCCCTATTTTTTAATGGTTGACAGGCCTCTACAACCCAACCCATCTCCTAGTGTTGGAGATGTTCATGGGCGCTTGCCAACTTTTAACGCAAGAAAAAAAATGTTGTAGCGGTAGGCAAGGGCTGGGAATGCTCATTTCGAATGTTTTACTAGGAATCACATAAAAAAGTGTGATTACACTGATCGTGATACCAACGCCATTTACCACAGATTACTTGGTGACTTAACGTTAATGAGTCAATTAATGTAATTAATGTAAAGGTCAGAAGAAGGTAATGAGGTGATACTTCACAAGAATAGAATAGAACCAAGATACCCTTTTCAATTTGCAATTTATGATAATAACTAATAATAGTCCCATAATGCTAGTTCCAACAACCAAGGAGATGAATACTGAGTAGTTAAGTAGAAGGAACTTATAAAAAGCAATAACTTTATTCAATATTATCAGCTATGCAAAAAACTAAGACCTAAGACACTTAAAATTAAATGGAGGTTTATACTATATTAAATATACATTTTATGGCCAAAGTTTAATTAATTTAAAACACGGAATCCATTAAATAAATTGTATACAGGAAACGTTGAAACCGATCTCTAAAATCAAATTTCACACTGAAATATGATACTATTAACTTAATCAAATTACCTATAAGCACTAAGCTAACAATACACTTGCAAATGTCTTGAATGCTTGAGCAGTCGCGACGTAAAATATAATTTCGAATACATAATTTTAACGGATTAAAATATCGTTTCGTGCTAAGAACGCATCGTGTCGACGTCACAAGATATTAGAAATAATAATAATAAAAAAAAAACTTGTGTATGGCCACATTCGGTCAACGGCGACGCTAGCCTTGAGCCGATCACTAATCGATGAAGCGGAACATTGTCTTTATGTCTGTCCGTATGCGACGAAATTCAATGGCTCAGTACCTAAGTGTAGTTCCATATTATTTTTTTTATATTTACACGAATTTTACGCATTAATATAACCTAGGTTCAAAGAGTGGACCGTAACGAAAAAGCATTAAGGTGCAGTGTTGTCAACCGCCACGGTTAAAATGATGATGATGATGATGATGATGATGACCCGGTTTCTGAAACTGATCATCGTAGAAGTTAACTAATCAGCTGCCAAATGGCTTTTCAAATGTTATTTAAATTGCCAAAAGGATGGTTAAACTCTGAATTGATCATGAATGATCTTAATGATCAGAATGATGAATTCGAAGAGTTAAACCATCCTTTTGGCGATTCAAATGACGTATGAAAAGCCTTCATACGAAAAATGCCATATGACAAAGCCAAAACCTTCAAATGACATATGAAAATTAAACCTTCTACGATGAAAATTTTGACCGCCAGCTAAGCAAAGCGCCCCGAGCACTGCTAGTTTGTCAAGCCATCGTTGGCGTATCTAGGTCTATTTTTCAGGGTTGGCCTGGGCCTTTACAAAAAAAATCGAACACTTTGCGTCTTATTAAAGAAGTTATAGTTCGATATCGTTAATAATTTATCTTAATTTATAATAGTAGTATTAGCTAATAAGTAGCCTAGAATTTCTAATCAGTACCTACCCCAAAATCCTGTGGATACTGACATAGCCCACCCGGCCCCCCTGCTATATACGCCTATGCAAGCCATACTCAAAATACGCAGGTTCGAATCCGATCAGCGCTAAGAATTTTCGAGAATTCGTCTATTAAAGTCAAACTTAAAGTTTTATATTGAGTAATATCATATACTTCCGGTTACCTCACTCACCGGGTGAAACAAGTTAAGTATAAATTACTGCACGACAACATTTGTGACGCTTCGATCTATCAGAACAAGTTATTCTTATTAAGAACTAGCTGTGCCCCGTGACTTCGTCCGCGTGGAATGTAAAATAAATAAAATTTCTGAAATAAAAGTAGCCTAAATTACTATAAAATCGTTATCACATCAGCTATCTGCCAGTGAAAATTCCGTCAGTCCAGCCTCTGTCGGTCCAGCAGTTTCAGAGATTAGCCGGAACAAACAGACAGACAAAAATTATAAAACATGTTATTTTGATATCTTTACCGTGTATACATATATCCATATGCATTAAG